CTGGATCCCTCCAGGAAAGATGCTGCCCTCAGGAATTTGGGGGCTGGGCTGGCCTGGAAGCAGGGCCCAGGAACGATGGTGGTCTCAGGAAGCTGGTGGCTGTGCCACCCAGGGATGCAAAGGGAGGTGGGAGTGGGAAGAGGCTCTTAGAGCTCCTGGGACTACTGGGAGGAACTGGGTTGGTCTGGATGCAAAGGATCAGGAAGCAGTGGTGGCTCTGGGTGGAGAGCTTAGCCCCGGTATCTGGTGGTGCCAAGACAAGAAATGAGACAGTACACAGGCTAGGAGGAGAGATGCGGTGGGGGAGCTAGGGGGGTGAAAGAGGCTGGGGGAGTCAAGGCATGGTGGGTACACTGGACTTACCCAGGAAAGGTGCTGGCATCAGGACACCGGAAGGCTGTGCAGCCCAGGAAGCAAAGGGAAGGAAGGGCGGGACCAGGAAAGGTGCTGGCACCAGGACACCAGTAGATATACAGCCCAGGAAGCAAAGGGAGGTGAGGGCGGGACCAGGAAAGGTGCTGGCACCAGGACACCAGAGGCTATGCAGCCCAGGGAAAAAAAGGGAGGTGAGGGCGGGACCAGGCCCAGAGGGCTCCTGGGGACCATGAAAGGTGCTGGCACCAGGACGCTCAGAGGCTGTGTAGCCCAGGGAAGTCTAAAATTACTGACTCTTAAAACATTATTGAAGTAGTTTTGGGAATAGAGAAAGCAAAGCATTCAAAAATACTAGATGAAGATCAAGAATTTGAAAACATAATAAAACAGAAGAGAAAGAAAACCAAGAAACTGGAATAGCAAACAAAACCCTCCTGCAACTGCCCCAAGCCCTGATAGCTTTACTAAGTTCTATATGGGTTTCAAGAGCAGACAGTGCCTACATCATGAAGTTTTTCTAGAAAAATAAAAAGTAAAAAAGGAAAGAGATTCCAATTCAACTCATGAGGCACACTAACAGGATCTTATTCTCAAAACTAGATGGCATGTGTTGGGGGGAGTGCGTGTGTGTGTGCGTGTGTGTGTGTGTGTGTAGATGGAGGGAGTGCTACACAAGCCTATCATAGGATCCCAAGGTAGAAAGAAAAAATTGACTCCTGGAAGTTGTCCTCTGACCTCCACATGCATGCCTGTGATATGTATGCATTGATGAATGAATGAATGAATGAATGAATAAATAAATCAATGTAACAAAATGGAACAACTCAAAATAGTCCCTGCTAGTGACAATGAGGTATCTGAATTATTGTGTTCACTGATGGCCAACAGGATAGTAGGTTTCAGTTATCAGAGCTGAAAGGTATCAAAGGAATATAAAAGCAGATATAAATTATGCCCATTCAAAGTAAAGATTTTAAACTTTTTTTTTTTGAGACAGTTTCTTACTACGTAGCCCTAACTGGCCTCAAACTCACAGAGATCCACTTGCATTTGCTTCCTAAGTATTGGGATTAAAGGCATGAGCCTATATACACAGCCTGATTTTAAACTTTTTCTAAACAGCATCAACATTTAACAGTGAAATTCATTTTTCTTTATTCCTTTGTGCTGAGTTCTGCAAATACATGTCAGTTTCATTTTCTTTACTACCAGTCCCAGGAAAGCAAGGAGCTACTGGTCTAGAATCAACAGCACACTTTGGCCCAAGTTAACAACTGTCAACTGGCTATATTTCAAGAAGCTTTTCCAATTTAAATAGTACTAGGACAGACTAACCATCTTAATAATCACAGCATTCGGGCTGGAGAAATGGCTCAGCGGTTAAGAGTATTGGTTGTTCTTGCAGAAAACTTGGGTTCAGTTCCCAGCACCCACATGGCACTTAACAACCATCAGTAACTCCAGTTCCAGGGCATTTGACACCCTCTTCTGGCTTCTGTGCGTATTTCATGTCATGGATACACTTACATACACGCAAGCAAAACACTCATAAAATTTTTTTAAATTAAAAAGTAAAAATCAGCATTAAGGATGCCACTTGTGAAATGGAGAACTTGGATCAACTTTTAGCATAAATGTTTCCATATTTAATATCATAGTATTATGAGGAGATGAGAAGGCTGAAGAGCCAAAGACATACCAATTCTTTTATTCGTTTTCGGTGTCTGCTATGTGGATTATTCAAATGACTGGTAAGATCAAATATTGTTGGTATTGCGTTATCTCGAAGAACTGTCCTATAAGGACTCTGAAAAAGAAAAAAGTATCAATTCAGAAACAGTCCTTCAGAAAAAAAAATCTACACAAATGATTTTCCCAGTACTTCTTCACCACTCCTGTTTTTGCATTTTCCCTTCTAGAGATCTTACTGTTTTGTCCTTTCATGAGCTCAGCAAATCTATAAGACAAGTCTCCTAAATAATTTACCATCTTTTCTGTTCTATAACAATGTTCCCCTCCTTACCTGATGTCATTCCACTGTTGTTACTCATACTGGGAACTACCAAGGCACAATGGAAATACTGGCTAGGACTAAGGAGACCCAAGAACTAGTTAAAATTCTACCATTGACTCACACCAGGCGTGATGGTACATGCCTTTAATCCCAGCACTCGGGAAGCAGAGGCAGGCAGATCTCTGTGGGGTCAAAGCCAGCCTGGTCTACATAGTGAGTTCCAGGCCAGCTGGGGCTAC